TTGATCGGGAGTTATCAAAGTGATGCCCCTGATTATAGGGTACACGAGGCCAATCAATGGTCTCGTGGAGATCTAACAGGGCTTGTAAGCGCTCCTGAAATACCGCTCCGCCTAACACTCGCGTCAGGTCCAAGCGACGTAACCACTCCACAATCACCGCTGGGAGGACGTACAACCGCCCGTCGTAAGTCGACCACAAAAAGCGTTTTGCAACGATGGCGAGCCACTCGCTCAGAAACACCATCCAGCGGGAGGATTGAGGGTCCGCCATCATACTCATTCCATGATACACCAAACACGGTGGTAGCTCCGCCACGAAGTCCGCAGGGACTTCGTACTGCGCAAACCAAGCGGGTAACTCGGGGTACCGAGCGGTCAGAACGTCGCGTTCAAACGACGTCACTTCTATCCACTCGTATGCCACAAAGACCCCCATCCGGTTGCGCATACGGCGCTCATATTTCAGCTTGTTGTGCATGGCGGGGTCCCTCCGCCGGTCCGGTTGACTCTCGAACCCTGGAGGAAGGATCGCCTCGCTCCAAGCCATCAGCTCAACCGCTGGTTCCTCCTCCCGTATGCGGAGGTTGTCCATCACCCGCTTCATTCCGGCGACATACCCTCGATCGGCCTCCGTGCGATAGGACCACGTATCTAGGTCCCACGCACGGAGGACGAGCCGATTGCAGGGTGTCCGGCGCATCCCCTGCCGTATCCGTTCCACGAAAGCCACCTTGGCACGCGTGTTCACCCGCCGACAGTCCGGGCGTAGCAACTCAGGCTCCACCACCAGACGTTGTGTGAAGTCCCTGGATGTCACAGCTGCAAGACTGAGTCCCCCGGGGAGTTCCCCCGTCGCTGCAGCATAACACTGAATCAACTCCGTATCGCGCAAGGCCGGTGGTGTCAAGAAGGGCGCCCGCTCAAAAAGAAGTGCATCATCGTACATATTCCGTCCCCACAAGTCCCCCGGGCGAGGCCAGTCCCCGTCTCGGTCGACCGACCGCACCCCGAAGGTCTCCATTTTCCCCTTCCGGTCGCGCGGGACGTTTGAGGGTTGTCCGAAACCTCGATGCGAGCACGTCAACAAACGGGACGCCTCAGGAATTTGACCTTTGCACTACTCCGGTACCTGGTACCGTACCACCCTCCGTATCAGAGCGCGACCCCTCCCCGCGCGCTGCCGCGCCGCCGGGAGATTGTACGCTGTCCAGGGCGGCCCACTCCCTGCCGAAATCATGGTTCGCGGGGACGCTCTATTTTTAGAAGGGGGCTGTGTAGAGCACTGTACCGTTTTGTTGCATGACAGGACGCGTTGTACACGTGGTCATACCCCACGTGTATCCGTGGTCATACCGCACGTGTATCTGTGTCATACCCCACGTATATCTGTGTCACACCCCACGTATACCCGTGTCATACTCCACGTGTCCACCCCGCGTGTCGAAGGTTGTCATACCACTCTATTTAGCTGGTTATTATTATTATTGCCGACGGCGACTACTATATAGTCGACGTCCGCCCCAAAAGTAAACGACACGAAGCCATGGGTTCTTTCCGATGTTTCTGGATTCTCGGTAGTAGCCTCGCGCCGGTACTCGCCCACTCTGTGCGACACCACGCGAGCCCATCCACTTCCCTGAATCTCCTCCTCCCTACGCTCGTTCGCTGTCGCTTCGCCCGCTTACTGCTTGCTACGCTCCGTGCCTTGTTTCTTTCCTACCACTCTACCTACCGCGCACGCGCGCCCGGACCCCGTTGCTGGCTATCACCGGGTGGTCTCCCGTATCCCACTCACCCTGCGTTCCGAACACACGTGCTCTGCCTGAGGCTGCCCCACGTGGCATCAGTGCACGACAGGAGGGTGGCGGCGGACCTCCCCCACGTTCCTCTACACCCCTTCGAACGGAGCTCCTCTCGCGTATCCTGGTCGTGTGCGTCGGTCGTAGAATTGCTGCACCGCGCCGAAGCGGTGCCGGAACGCAACCGGCGTCCTTGGACGGATTTCACTACCGGGGACCGCAGTATTTTCCTTGCCTATCACTTGGGGGCCGACGCCTTCTTGAACGAACAACTTTGAAAATGTACTCGTGGGCATCCATCACAAGCCTCTCGGATTGATATACTTGAACGGCGTCATTAGCAACCCGATTCGTTATCCAAATGGCTTGGATGTCATCTCCTCGGACCCCCTTCCCTTATCGGCGACGAGGGGGAATTAGGCGTCTTACCATCGTCAAAATGCTTGTTTCTGGGAGGACGCGTCCGTCGTGCCATTTCCCTTTCTTTTAGCTCCCCTTTTTTTCTCTCCTTTGTGCTGACGGCCGCCCCCTGACCGCCGACCATCGCTCTCAGGGCTCCTCTTCCTTTCCTACACTCTCCCGCGCCTTTGGTTTCTCTGATGGGCGCTTCCTATATCTTGAGGTGCCATAGATTAGGGCTACTTCCACGCCGTAAAAGGGCCTTTGGAGGGCGGGTCGGCGCCGCGAGCATCACCGTTGGCGTGGTCTCCTTCTTCATCCCATCGGACCTTTGAGGACGTCCGGGAGAGTCGTAGAGCTGTATGCGGGCGAGCGTCGGCGATTTCCGAAACCAGCTTGGCGGTACGGGCGTCTACTTTACCGCACAGTAGGCTGCCCATGCAACTCGCCCTGTTCTGCCCGATTCCAGTCAGAGGGCTCTCGGATGTTTTCATGGCTATCTTTTCCTTGCTTTGCCATTTTTACCAAGACTTTCCGATGGGTCTCCGCAGCTGCCGTTCGGTCCCTTAACCGTTGCGTAAATTTGCGGTCTTCGTTGGCATGGTGATAGAGGACGAATCGCGCAAGAAGCCGTGACTTGCATATTGCACGTTCAAGAATTCAAAGTTTTATCTCTCCTGCCACCATCAGCTCTTCACCCTGATTCCTTTCTCGTTGTCGCACAGCACGTCGGGCAGTCTTGCAGTGCTGCCACTGGGACGCGCGTGTGCGAGAGGTGCCGAGGGCGTTGTTCTGAGCTCGGGACGATCCTGATCATCGGCACGTACCCCTCTAGCTCGGCGAAGTTCTCCTGTCGTCGCTTCCTCGCGGTGGCGTTCGCGCCTTCAGTCGCGTACGGGGGGTGCCCAGGTCCGCTGATGGCAGGGGCGCTTGTACAGGCCTGTCACCACTCGCCTCCCCATTTGTTCGAGCCTAAGGGGAGGGGGCTTCGTCCGGAGAACGAATGGCGTGCGGTGCGGTGCGGCCACACATACGGCAGATCGTACGGAGGTTACTAACCTGAACACTGGTTTGGTGGTAACCAGAATTTGGGATACCAAACAGTACCAGGGGCACCCCTTCGGATTCCAGATATATTTATATGGTTGTAAAGCTTAGAGCAGTAGTAGTGATATGTAAAAATCAGAAGTGGACCAACCAAAATAGTTTAGAAGTTATCGTCCAACATGTTCTCTCTAAATCTGGGCGATGGGGGGTTCTGTATAGGTCAAATCAAAAAAATTATCATACAATTTTACTTGGAAAGTGCAGTACAATTTAAGTTATATAAAAATTTGATACAGTCGACCCTACGCATTAGTGCCGCCCTGTGTAAAGACTAATAATACGACACTAATTCGGAGCGGCACAATCAGAAAGCAGAATCCTTACCCGGCCAGAACTCTGTTATTAGAGTCTGCTGTTGTTGCCTTTGTCCCTGTCTCTCAGGCCTAGCTTCTAGAAAAGCTCGTTTTCCGGACCTCAAGTGCGACAAGGCATTGCTCACATCGCACTCCACACCCAGACTCTTCAAAGACCCAAACAACCTTGCTAGCACTACAGCACTCGGTACGGCCCGCCTCTCCGTAATTTCACACTCGTCTTCAGCCACACAGTCATCCATCATAGCATCACTGGCAGACTGATTCTGTAGCTCTCCACCATAATGTATTGAATTGCAAGCATCACTAATAGAAGCTTCTGCCACAAGCTCATTAGTCTCGATCTCAATCCATTCCTCCACATCTTTCCTGCAGAATTCTGCAGTTTCTGCAAGGCCGTCTTCTGGCACCAGGCTCAGTCGGGAGAGAAACCCTACTATACCATCCACCATGGAATTATCAGTTTCCGTTTCATTTCGACCAACTTTCCGACCTGCAGCAGATGCCCAACCTCGATTTTCTGTGCAATCGTAAGGCGCGTACGCTTCGCTTTGGCGATCTTTTCAGGATTCATGTTAGGGTCATTGAGTGTGGTGCCATCACGTCACCAATTGAGCTAAGGCGCATGAGGAGTGGCCGATGACGACGTCGTACATGACACGTGGCAGAACCTGTGTCTGCCAGTTTTGGAGGCACTAATTCGAGGGTGGCAATAATGAAAGGGGCACTATTGCGCGTCCCCCCTGTACCTGGTCACAATCTGCCGACGGAATTTAGTCCTAAATCCTGTCTGGACTTGCTCGAAGTTGGCGATTGTAGCCCTCTTCAAGCCTCCCCGCCCCACTACGATGACCCGTATCGTCACGTCCACCCCCGGCCCCCCCCGCGTCGCAAACTCCAAGCCCAAGTCAAATTGGGAGATAAACTCCCAGCCGATATTCGTCTGACAGAAAATCAGGAGCTGAATGTGGACAACTCCCCCCTCACTGGTGAGTCCGAACCCATCGGCCGTACCGTTGATTGCACTAATGAGAATCCCCTCAAGACCAAGAATCTTGCCTTCTTTAGTACATTGGCTGTCGATGGAACTTGCGTTGGTATTGTTGTCAACACTGGTGATGGTACTGTATTCGGTCGCATTCCTGGTCTCGCTGCTGGGTCTAGCTCGGAGGTCACTACCCTGCAGCTCGATATTCATCATTTCGTTATTATCATTTCTTCTGTCGCAATCTCGCTCGGTGTTCGGTTTTTCATCATCGGTCTCATCAAGGGAACTGAAGTTATCACCAACATTGCGTTCTGCATTGGTATCATTGTCGCAAATGTCCCCGAAGGTCTTCTTGCTACTGTGACGGTCTCCCTGACATTGTCCGCGAAGCGTATGACCAAGAAACAAGTGCTCGTGAAGAAGCTGAAGGCTGTCGAGACGCTCGGATCTACTACTTGCATTTGCTCAGACAAGACAGGTAATCTTACACAGAACCGAATGACTATTATCCATCTCGCGTAAAAAAATGCGCTGTACACCACGAAGACGGCCGCGACTGAAGCCACGTTTGACACTGAGGTTTCGTGCGTCAAGGAGCTGTTCTACATCGGCGCGAACTGCGCGAAGGCCATGTTCGATGCTAAACATCTTGATGATACCCCGGAGAAGTCAATTGACGAACGCAAGGTCAACGGTGATGCTTCAGAGGCTGTTATTCTCAAGTTTTCGGAGAAGATCACATCTGTCAATGCGCTGGGATTTCAAAGCCACGACCACCAGGGGGCGACCCGCAATCTTCGCCTCATCCACAACACGATCGTGAGCGCGGGCGAGATCGCCTCCGTTTGTGCATGAAGGGGCTCCTGAACATGTCATGGAGAGGTGCACAAGCGTCCTCACGAATGAGGGTGTGATGCATTTCGATGCTGATGCCAAGGCTGTTATCAACGAGCAGCTCGCTTTCATGATGGAAAGAGGAGAGCGCCGCTTGGGATTCGCCAAGATGGATCTTGACCCGGCCGAGTTCCCTGTCAGGTTGGATTTTGATGTGGAGGAGAGCAACTGCCTCATGGAAGGTTTGGTATTTGTCGGCTTGATGGCTCTTCTGGACCCCCCTCTTGAGGCTGTAGCGAACGCTGTCGCCTCTTGCCAGAGCGCCGGCGTTAAAGTTGTCATGGTTACTGGTGATCATCCAGCCACTGCCAAGTCAATTGATAAGGTGGTCAATATCATCAAGGGAGTGTGGCTTCGTGACAATACATATTGGTAATTTGTTCCGGCTTAATATGTGCATTTCGTAGATCTAGGAAAGGTTGAAGAGAAATAAAAGTTATGTCTGCGTCGAAGGAACCTTCGACACTTGCTCACATCAACGAACTACATGTCGGGCCTCAAAAAACTAACGTTGCAGTATGGTGGGGTGTGCGCTGGAGAAATATCTATGGTAATGCGCATTTGTGGCATATATATTGCAGTAGAGAGACCGGAGGCAGTCAGATGCTCTTTTGCCAGTTACTGCTGTAGGCTCAGCTGATCTGAATATCTTTGGTCAAACCCAAAGTGCATCGCAACCAACCTTTGGTACTGCTGCACCCACGTTTGGCGTGCCGGCCCAAAGCTCCTTTCGTGGTACCGTCCGAAACGCTGCTCCGGTGCTCAGACACAGACCAAGGCAGCATCATTCGGCGCGCCTGGGTCCTCTCCTTCTCTCTTTGGTACGCCAGCGCAGGGGGCCTCATTGTTCGGTGCGCAATCACAGAATCCTCCGTCCCTCTTCGGTGCCGCCCCTCAACAACAGCAGCCCCAACAGCCACAATCCCAGACCTCCGAAATCAACTTGCGCACTCGTGTATGGCAGCTTCTACAGAACTTCCAGACCGATCTGTTTGCAGTTGAGAGACACTTGCGAGAGCAACGGATAAAAGGGACTCAATTACTATCGAAAGGTAACAGTTTTGACTCAGATATCGCACAAACGAAAACGCGCTCCACAAATATTACTCGTCGTCTCGCTACGCTTCGCGCTGGTTTAGAGGCGTTGAGGGCTAATTCGGAAACTGTAAAGTTTACCAGGGCATTGCACCCTCACTACCGTATCTGACTGCGTCAAGCAGACCACCGAGTAGCGGAGGCCACCCAGCATATCACGCAACTCCAAGAGCCTGCCTAATTTGCCTCGCCGCTGCTGCGCTGATCTCTTTCGATTTCTTCAACTCCGAAAACCTGGACAAAACAGTTGCGACACTGATAAACTCTGTCCAAGGCTTCCTGTTGTCATGTAACCTAGAAGGTGCATACTTACCTGTCCAGGCACATTTACCATTGTACACTTCCCACCAATGGATGGTGAGATCCGTAGTTACGCCTTCATCGTCCTTGTGAATTGATATGACACGCCCAACCCAGAACGGGAAGGTTTCTATAGAGCAAGAAGAACAGCGTACCGCCACGAAGTCATTACATTCGTATTCGAGGTCTTGCAGGGGTTGTTCTTCCATCTCGATTTCAACTTCATCCTGTTCAATTTCGTCTTGCAAGCCATCAACCGCATCAGTAACTGTTCTATACTTTCCCTTCATCTCAAATACGTCGCGCAGATTCCAGTGGAATCTCTCCAGTCTTGATTCATACACGCGGTTGCGTAGAAGCCGTAGCTGGGCTAACTTTCTCTTGTCATTCACTCGTGTCTCCTCAGACACAAGACGGGTATTGATTTTATCAAGATCGTTAGGACATGTGGCTTCGGTCGGTGGTGTTTTGGCAAGGTCAGGTGCAAATTTCAGGAAGCCTCCGGTGCACTGCCCGACCTTGAGAGAGCCCCCATCGTCGTTACACCCAACCCACGCGGAACATGCAGTGTTAAAATAATTTCCACGATACTCTGGGATCCCCCCCACACGGTGAAACTTGAAATATCGAAAATAGGAAAACCGTTGAGGCTTTTCCAATCACCTTTTTTGGTCACACAGCCCAGAGAAGTTTATAATCTTGCGAAGATCAGCAACGTGAGGCGGAGGGTTATATTCCTTCCCGTTTTCAATGATCAGGTCTTCTAGAGTTATAGCCTCATGATGCCTGAGCCGGCGAGCAGTGCAACTGAACGCTTGGTCTATGTCAGAATGGTTATGACCAATTCGTAGAAACGACACAAAGACTTCTTGAAACACCCCCATGCAACCAGGGATTCCATGTATCCGAAGAAGTATCTTTTCTTATTTTCGCGAGTGCAATTGTCCATCTGCACGAACAGGGTGTCCGGGAGTGGGCCCTTCTCATTCTTTACCATCAGCGTCCGATAAAGAGCTTCTAGTACGTGATTCGCGCCTGTCTCATATTCATCTGTCATAGTGAACAGGGACAGATGTTTCACGGGACCATGTTCAAGCACTCCAATTAGCTTGACTTTGATGCTGTGCCCCTTTGTATGCTTAGTATTGAAGAGTAAATGCGGCAAACCGAAGGCGGACTGGTCGGCACCGTCCAGAATTATAGAGAAATACTTAGCAGGATACAGTCCTGCTCTATCACACTTCTTCTGGTACTCGCGCCGCTCCGCTGCAACCATATCGTTGTGAGTGGTTTTTCGCTCACGAAGTAGCCGAGCTGCTGACTCATCGGTACCGGCTTTGGAGAGCCGGTCTCTAATGAGATCGCATTCGGAACACACTGTGAACCTATGCACCCTTCGCACCTTGATGTTGGGCACGTGCTTTTGCCATGTCTCGTAAAAAATAGCTTCGCGTGGGTGGGGCGCGCGAATGGAGGCGACTGAACTCAGAGAGGAAGATGTCGAAGACCTGGGCTTTTTGGAAATAGGGCAAGTGCTGTTCGTTTCGGTCCGGCATATGGTCGGCTGTGCTTTCTGAAAGACGTTCAAGGAAGCATATGACCGCGTCCCGTCGATTAGCTTCTGAGTTTCTCACAGTAGAAGTCAAGGAAGACCTCCTCTTGCTAAGCGGTGTGCCTTTAACAGAGCCCTGGAAATCCCTAGAAAACTGCAGGGACTTCTTTAGAAACTTATAACACACCGCCTTTCCATCGAAGAAGAACATCCCTGAGTTATCTTCCAACAAGCCCTCCAGATAAGCTCGTCTCCCCGCCCTATTCAGCAAAGATACATGTTGCACTTGAGCCTTGACGTACCGAGCGTCAACTTTGTAAAAACAACGGCGATGGATACAACATTTTAACTTACCCACCTCCATGTTCTGGAACGTATCAGCGTGGGCACGGCGTCATTGAAGTAACACACTCTCCACACCCTTGCCGCGACGGCGACTCTTGTACGTGTATACTCTCTTTTTCAAAGGTGATTTCTCGCTGTTTGCAACACTGCGACTGGCCGGACTTCGTTGCGATGGGGGTCCATTTTTCGTTCGAGTGTTAGAGGGTGGATGGGGACGGTACTCAGCGTCACTACTAGATCTAGACAACTCATCTTCAGGTTCCAGTGCTCGATATTCTGCGGCATTTGGCGTAGCTAGAGCATCTTCTTCTTGCAGTTCGGGTGGTGAATATTCTGCTGCATTTGGGGTAGCTGGAGCTACTTCGGGTTCCGCAGCTATCCCTCGGGCTGCAATTACCAATGAGCGGATGCTCCACACTTTACGCTGCACTGTACCGGAAGCCAGCGAAACACTTGATGACCGCCTTTGGGGCGATCGTCGTATCGCTGTGATCGGGCTGGGTTGATTTCGCATGGTAGAATCCGGGGGACATGGTGAGGTGTGTCGGATGGGAACATTAAAGAGTTGCGTTGTGTCTGGCGGCGTTGAGAGTGGTGTGTGTGAAGTTGCTGGCGTCGCAGAAAGGGCGCGACGCTTCCCGTCTCGCAATCCTGAGCTTTGCGAGTTCTGAGCAGTGCGTGAGGGGTCTGTTGGCGGACAACCTCGTTTACGACTGCTCCTTGGCGTTTGTTGGGATTCACAGGGCGGGACTCAGGGGTATGTAGAGTGGTTGGCGTCGCGAGCTGCACGCGACGCTTTCCGCTTCGTAGTGGGGTGCTTTGCGAGTCCCGAGCAGTACTACGCGGTGATGTGCGTGGGGGAGCCACAGTGCGGGACTCAGGGGTATGTAACGGTTCACCATGCCTCGAGCTACTCGCTTGTGCAATAGAGCGCTTTGCGCGAGTCGTATGCCTAGTCGTAGTCATTGGAATGGTTTTGAGATGGGTTGTTGCCCCCAACAGTTTAGATGGGTTGAGGAACTTTATCGCGGAGACCAGGATGATACCCTCTTTACCTTTTATATACTGGAGCGTGTATCAACTACAAGCACTGCAGCACGAGAATTCGGGTGATGGTGGGTGCAGCTCCACACAAGCAGCAGCGATACTGTTCTGTGGAACAGATAATGCCTGATGGATGACCAGTTTAGCAATCCGTGAATACTGATATTCACTGAGCAGGTACGCCGAGCTATGAATGGCTGGCTGCTGTCTCTGCGCTACCATGAAGAAGCCTGTAATGGAAGCTTTACAGATCTGAGAGAGCGCTGTTTGAAACATATCTGAATCAAATATT